TTAAACACCGTGGAAAGCATGTATGATGTAACTCAGTAATTTTAACCAAAAGTTAGACAGAAAAATGTATATAGAATATATGTCTTATTTTATACTATTTCAATAATGGGTGTCTAATGGCACATTTCACTCTACCCATTGCACACATATGCAATGATTAGCAAGTTGCCATTTAAAATGCTTTGGCCAAAGGGACATGAGTAAAGATGAGGAAAACCCAGGTTTGAGAAGTCCCTACCGTTCATTTCCCTACACAGTCATGCGATGAACCTTGGCCATCCTAAAGATACAACATAAAATAATCGATATAGGCGTTGCACACCTGAAGATAAGTAACACCTACAGAGCATACAACCTTGAGTAAGACATATTACCTCAAGTTTTCTTCTGTGAATTTTCTTTTTAGGCCACATGTCCCAACCAACACTTTCTGTACTACCAGGCACAACCAACCGATTAGAGCTAGCATTAGCAAATCAATAGATGGCACATTTAATATAAATTTGCCTGATTACATACTAAAAATCACAGTGTTAACAGGCTGAATAAATTAGCAAGAAGAGGATTAGGGATTACTACATGGATAGATATTTTCAATCAAAACAATTACCCCACCATCCCAAACCACAGCCTCAGGTACCCTCTCATAACTATGCTCTGGATTATTCTTCAATCCAGCTCATCACCACTCATACAAATTAGTTTAAATCTTGCAACAACACAAAATGATTGAGAGTGGTGTAGGAAAGAGTACCATGTGAACCTGGTGCTCAGGGAAGTAGCAACAATTTTTGCAGAAGGCAAAGGAAGCTAGCAACATCTTCCCTTCCCTTGCTTTTCTGCTTTTTCCCTCAGGAATGGTGCTTGCAGGCCCAGAGTTTAAGCCCCACCAATGACCAAACAGAAACAGAAAAAGGAAAAAAAATACGTGGAGGGGAGACTCCTGCAGCAATCGCACAGTTCCTACCTGACATCAGTTCTAAAGCCTGAGATTCCTTCAAGTTATAGCTCCGGAGCTCCACTGCAAAGAGCTGGTCGCCGGCTTCGTGGCTGCCACCTATGGAAGTCCAAACTTTACTTCAGAGCACTTCCAGCAGAAAGGCAAAGGGAAAGAATCCAGAAGACACCTACTTAAAATGCCCGTGATGGGTGGGGAGACGCATGTGCAAAAGGATCTTCTGCTCCACCTCCGCCCTCCAAAAAACAAAAACAACCCAGGACTTTCAAAGAAAATGTCCTTCTTGAAGACTACAATTCCCACAATGCTCAGCACCACCCTGGTCACAAGAGTGCTTGGATGCATTGGGACTTTTCTCTTCCTGCTGTAGGAGCTAAGCTGAGTTTTACTTGAAAAACACTATTTCCTCCCTGAAACCAGCCACAAAATGTAAATATATGGGGACAAGTGGATGCATTGACTGTTTGGTTCTTAGTTCTAATAATGAATTTGAGTTTATGTGACTCTGTTGCTCATACATTTCTTTTTGTTCCGTTCCTGTGTTCTGTTGAATGTAAATTATATCTCTGTTTTGCCTTAAATTGGTTAATACCTCCCCTCTCATCTTACAAAGGTACTCACAGACACTGAACTTATACCGGGTCATTTCCCAATGCTGTAATGTACACAACCGCATAGAATAGGAAGATTGTTACGTGGATATGCAGCATAATCCTTGTGTTGATTTGCATTTGGCAAAAATCTAACAATTAATTTTCCAGAAAATCCCCAATTCTATCTATTAAATCAAAAGGAGTTTTAGTTTGTTTCTGAAATTTGCTTTTTATTTAATGGTGTCATGATTGTTATGCTTTTGGTCCTGTGGCTTGACCTCAGACCTTGTGCACTACCTGTGAGCATTTGCTGTGCTCTATTTGCATGTCCTTTAATAATTTCTTCAGGTAAGTAGTGAAAAGTTTCCTCACAGGGATTCTGAAGTACATGTCACATTACCCTGATTTTCCTACAAAGAGAGTGATTTGGGGGTCAGAATGAATGTAGGTGTGTAGAAGAGTGAAGTTTAGGGTAGGTCTATGTTGATGTGAAGCTTAATCACTTGCAAACCAGTCTGATTTTGTCTTTTCATTTTTGCATGTCAAAATCTCTTTAATATTCTTACCTCCTAGCTGGGCGCTGGTGGCTCACGCCTGTAATCCTAGCTACTCAGGAGGCTGAGATCTGAGGATCTCGGTTCCAAGCCAGCCCGGGCAGAGGAGACCGTGAGACTCCTATCTCCAATAAAACCACCAGAAAACCAGAAGTGGCACTGTAGCTCAAGTGGTAGAGCGCTCACCTTGAGCTGAAGAGCTGAGGGATAGTGCCCAGGCCCAGAATTCAAGCCCCACGACAGACATAAAAAAATATTCTTACCTTCCTCTCAGTAGCTTTAGGCTACATATCTAGGGGACCTCAGACTTGTCTTCTCAGACCTTATCCATTAATCTTTTGTCTCCTGCGGCAGTCTCATCAGAGCACAAGCAAGACTTCTGTGGGCCAATGGGATGATAATTAAGGAGACAGAAAGATGGCTGATGGCACAATTCTGCTATGTCTCTCAAATGCTTGTGTAATATTGGCCTAAGCCCACAATGCCAAAAAGTGCAAACAGCACACTACTGTCCTCATTCTATTTCAATCTATGTTTTCCACCAAAGCCTCCCTTCACTTAAAGCCCCAGGCCAAACAGCTAGAACACACATTTCCTCAAACCAAGAAAGGGCCTGGTCTTGCAGTCCTAAGGGTGGGAGTCAATGGCCCTGAAGCCTTTGCTCACATTTTGCCTGCTCCTGCAGGCACCCCAGGGTCTGCAAGTCTCTCTCTCTCTCATAATCAGAGATCCTACACTTGTCTCCTAAAGTTTATTGTGATTGTTGGTGATCCTTTATATACAACATAATTGGGATGGATTGGATTGGAAACTTTCTTGCCTGATTTTATTTCTCCAGTATATGGGTTTTGCATGTCCATTTTGTCAAGCTGAACTATTCCTCATGAAAATGGGAATCAAAGGGCATATTTGGATGTATAGAATTCAACTTAAAAGCACCTCTAATAATATAAAGAAAACCTAATTTCATTCTGTGAAAGTAAGTTCCTAGGAGGCAAGGGGAAAAGGATCAGGAAAAACTGATGTGCTTCCAAGACTACCTATGAAGTGTAGTTTTCATTTTTCAAGCCTATATTTCTGATGCATTTATTTATACTTTTTTCCTTTTTTAATTTTTGTTCGGTCATGGCACTTGTACTCTGAGCCTGGGGACCATCACTGAGCTCAAGTGCTCTACCAAGTGAGCCACAACACACTTCTGGATTTTTAGTTGTCACTGGAGATGAGTGTCTCACACATGTTGCTGGCCAGTCTGACTTTGAACCGGGATCCTCAGTTTCAGCCTATTGAAAACCAAGGATTACAGACATGAGGCACCAGCACCCAGCTTACATTTCTTGTGTTTTATGTCCCAACCCTGGACTTGAACTCTGTACATGGACACTGTCACTGAACTTATTTTGCTCAAGACTAGCACCCTACTACGTGAGCCACATTTCCACATTCTGCTTTTTCTCTGTATGTGGTACTGAGGACTTGAACCCAGGACTTCATGCATGATAGGTAAGCATACTACCATGGCTGGGGGCCAGCCACAACACCAGCAGTGCTCCAGAAGAACAAGGGGATGATAATGGAAGAGACAGAGACAAGGCCAATGATGAATCTCTCTTTATTTCAGGGACAACCCTAGCTATAGACACTTTCTAGATCTGTCCAGTGATTGCATCACTTTGTTCTAGAACTCAACATGGCAACAACTGCAGATCATATGCATCCTTCCTCATTCTACTTCAACCTTTGCCCACCAAATTCCTACAAGTGAGGCCCCAGGCCCAGAAGCTAAAAGGAACACTCCCAGAATCAATCAGTTAAGTGTCTGTAAATACCTGATCATGGGGTTTGAACTCTGGGCCTGAGCACTATCCCTGAGCTCTTCCCCTCAAGGTGAGCTCTCCACAACTTGAGCCACAAGGCCACTTCCATTTTTCTGGTGGTTAATTGGAGATAAAGCTCATGAACTTTCCTGCTGGAGCTGAATTTAGACCAGCCTCCTCAGATCTCAGCTGCCTGAGTACCTAGGATTACAGGCATGAGCCATTGGCACCCAGCTGCAAATACCTTTTTAAAGTGAGTGGAGAGATATTCAAATTTTTAAGGCAAAACAGAGACATAATTTATATTCAGAGGAACATACTTTTTAAAATAAAAACAAAATCAATAACCATAGATTATCATAAAATCAATTACATTAATAAAACTAAGAATTAAAAAGCCAAATTATCTAATGCTCCTAATACAATTCTTTGTTTTGGTTGATCTCACAATGTTTCAGGAGGTAAATGGATTTTTCAAGAGGAAACTCACCTTAGTTTCCCATAGCTGGGAGAGAAATGTCCCCAAGCATCCATGCACACTTAGGACCAAGTCTCTGGCACCAGTCCAAACCCTGTAACAACCTACTTCCTCTAGTTGAATGCATTGTATTATGGGAATTGTACTTTCTATTGGGGCACAGATCCTTTGAAAGTGTGGAGGTTGGCTGTGGTAAGGCATATGAGCATCCTTGGCCACTGTGGGTTGTTGGGAGCCATTGGGAGCTGACAGTAAAGCTCAAAGGTCATCTTGACCCCTGTACTAGGTAAAAGGCACATACAAGGAACTGGCTTACTTAAATGACACCAGGTGCCCCCGAATTAATTGAACTGCTTCAGACATTTCTAACTGTTTTGGGACTGATGTTTATTACTGTGCTAGGTGTGAATGTGAGGTAACTGGGACAGGCTCTTGGATCAAGCACAAGGGCCCTCCCTATCCTGGTCTGGCGAATCTCGACCCCCAGACTTGCCCGGAACCCCCTGTGTAGCCAATGCTATCCTTACCAATGTAATCCTGTTAAAACAACCTTTACAGAGGAGAGAAAAGGATAACTAACTGGAAGCTGGGTCTGCCATTAAAAAAAAGGGGGGGGGGGACGAATCTGTAGAGCACATGGACAGCAAAGATGGTGCTGAGAGGGGGTTGAGTGGGCAGAGCCCAATTTACTGTAGAGCACATGGGCAGCCAAGATGGCACTGGGAGAGAGTAGAGTGGGAAGAGCCCAATTGATCGTCCGATCAGTGCCTAACCAGCCAGTGAAGGCTCAGGTGCATGATAGGGTGTGACCTTGACAGTGATTGGTTCCTCTTCCTCCCTTGCCATGCCACCCGCAATTTTTGTCTTTAAAAGGGGCTGTTCTCAGTTAATTAACTAGTTTTCAACCTGCTGGATTTGGCTCCCCGCTGTGTCTGATTGTCTCCCAGGCTGAGGGAGGCTGGGGAACGGGCTAGCGCCGCACTTACCTTTCCTTGGACCCTGTCCGAAGACCCAACAGTGGGTGTTTTTAGTTTGCAAATTCAGGTTTCTTTCCTTTTGCCTTGCTCCTGGAAGAGCTCTGAAGTACAGCTTTGCACTCCATAGTCAGAGCCAAGAGGTAGAAGCCCAGTGCCTCTTCTTCATGGGAACTTGGGAGCTGTAACTTGAAGCAATCTGAGTCACCAGCCAGAGTCTGCCTTTAGCATCTTTCCCTAGTCTGGGGTTGATGATATTTTATGGGCTCATGGGTCTGTGCTGCCATTAGCACTTGTTCCTCCAGGTGCCAGAAAGTGGCTCACAAACCTCTGGTCCTCTAGACAAGGGGAGTCAGGAGTTGTGCATTTATACTCCTGAACCTAGAGATTCTGGTACTCACTCATGTGACTTCATAAACTTGCTTTTTGTGAATTGAAGCCTATGAATGGTAAACATTCCTTGAAAAAATGTCTTATATAAACATAGTGATCCTCTTTTCACTCTCTGTACTTCCTATGGCTTTTGAAACTTTCAAAATGCTGCTGGCACAGATATACTCCAATTAATATGTCTGTTATTAACAAATTACAATTTCTCCACTAATATAATTAGCCTATTTTACATCACTTAAAATGAGAGAGAAAGGCTGGGCAGGTGGTTCAGTAGTAGAGTGCTTGCCTTGCATGATTAAGTCCCTGGGTTTGATTCCTCAGAACCACATAAGTAGAAAAAACTCACAGTGCACTGTGGCTCAAGTGGTAGAGTGCTAGCTTTGAGTTTAGGAGCCGAGGAACAGTTCCCAGGCTCAGAGTTCAGGCCCCATGTCTGACAAAAAAATGAGAGAGACTTGCTATATATATATTCCAAATGAATTGTTAGAAGATAATTTGAATACAATACAATGACCTTGATATGTGTGTGCTTGTCCTGATTCTTGAACTCAAGGTCTGGAAACTGACTATGAAAGTATTTGGTTCAATGATAATCTTGTACCACTTAAACCACATCTCCACATCCAGCTACTTTGGCTACTTTATTGGAGATAAGTCTCTCAGACATACTTGTACCCATGACTTCAATTTGTGATCCTTGTAGGGATCCTTCATGTCATCTCAGGGGACCACAAACAAGCACAGGAGAAAGATTATAATAAGGTTTACTGGAAAGACAGTATTTCCCGGAAGAGGGAGCACATGCATCTGTCCCTCTTCAGGTAGCAACAGGAGCTGGGGAACAGGAAGTTAGGTAGTTGCATGCTCAGGTAGATGTGGGGAGAGAGAGGGTGTGGCCACCAGAATGGAGGGAACTCTAGGTCTGGGAGGAGCTCAGGTCTGGGTGGAGCTGAGGAGCAAAGGTGGGGATAATACTAACTTTCCTCAGATCTCAGCCTTCTGAATAGCTAAGATTACAGCCATTAGACATGAGAGTCCAGTTACAATGTCCTCTTTTAAATTCAGATTACATTTCTAGTAAAATAATATGAAATAGAAAACTTGACAGTTTTAAGGCAGGATGTTCAGTCACTAATTTGGATGAGGACAGTTCAAATCCCAAAACAAACAGAAATTAACCCCACCTTGAAGTTTGTAATACTCCTCATCTTAAGTATTGTGAATGTGAACACTTAGCCTATAATAAATTCTTTTTAAGTTTGTCAAAGTAAGAAAACATTCTTGTAAAGTAGAAAAACCCAGTACTGATGTGCAAACACTGCTTTTAAAGGATTCATATTGTCTTTCCTATCAAAAACCTCACTGAAATAATCTGAAAAATGTTCTCTTTTTGTGAATGTCACTGCAAAGTTCATGTATTTTATATTAACAATTACCATTATGCATAAGTGGAAAAAATAAAACAAGAACGCTGGATAATAGAATTTCCTGTGTCATCAACCAACAAGTATAAGCAAAAGCACATACCTATGTAAGTTATTTCTTTTACATTTTATGGATTTATATTTTGGAGTGACACCTAGGTGTCATTTGGGGTGACACTAGCAACAGTGAAACCTAGGAGGTAACTTGTCATGAAAGGTAAAGTTTTGCTACAAAATGGTCAGACATCACATCCTCATACATAATAAAGAACTATCCTAATAAAGTTATACTGGATTTGCTGAAATAGTGTGGTCAAATATAATTTGTTGTACAGGACTGAGTGAATTATAAGTACTTCAATTAATCTGTGTAAATACTCTTGGACTGCTTTGTGGTATTTGTCTTTCTTGAAACTTAGTCTGTATTTGATGGTATTTATAGAAATCTCCATTTTTCTGTATTTTACATACTAGTGTAGAAGTGCTGGACCATATTGCTATGTAATTCTATATTAAGTTCTTTTTCGGACTCTTTGTCCCATCTTTGATAGTTTTACATACCTGAGAGAAATGCACCAAAGTTCACAATATTGTCCCATTTTTCCTAGCTTTTGCTAGATTTTGGAAGGATTTTTTTGATTTGTTTAAGATTATGCCATACTAACATGTGTAAAATAGTTATTTTATTGTAATTTTGATTTGAATTTTTCACCTGAATATTGATGCTATTTTTATATTTTAATCAGCTTTTTGTGTATGTCCTTTTTAGAAAGTCTCTTGAGGGGCTGGGAAGGTGGCTCAGTGGTAGAGTGCTTGCCTTGCATGCATGAGGCCCTGGGTTCAATTCCTCAGTACCACATAAGCAAAAAGAAAATAAGCTGGACGTGGCACTGTGGCTCAAGTGGTAGAGTGCTAGCCTTCAGCTGAAGAGCTGAGGGACTGCGCCCAGGCCCAGAGATCAGGCCCCAAGACCAGACCCCTCAAAAAAAAAAAAAAACTCTTGAATCCTTTTCCCATTTTAAAAGTAGATTTTGTAGGATTTCCTTTATATTTTCTAATTCAGATTTGTTAGTAATCTATGTAAAGACATATGCAAATACTTTCTCTTACCATGCTTTTGCTTCTTTGTTGATAGTTCTTTTCAGCATACAAAATTTTCATTGTATGCACTTAATCTTGTTTGGTTTTGTATTTATTTTTTAATTTTTATTCATTTATTTATTTATTGTCATCATGGGCCTTGAACTCTGGGCCTGAGCTCGTCCCTCTGTCCTTCAGTTCAAGGCTAGCACTCTACCACTTGGGCCACTGCACCACTTCTGGTTTTCTGGTGCTCCATTGGAGATAACAGTTTCACAGGTTTTCCTGCCCCAGCTGGCTTTGAACCATGATCCTCAGATCTCACCTTCCTGAGTAGTTAGGATTACAGGTGTAGGCCACAGGTGTGGCATTTGTTTGTTTGTTTCAAGTGTCACTTTTGGTGTCCTATTTAAGGATTTACTGTTAAATATAATGCCATAAGGCTTTCTCCAATGCTGTCTTCTTTTCCTCCTTTCCCTTTTCTCTTCTTCCTTTCCACTACTCTCTTGTCTCCTCTTCTTCCTTCTTTTCCCTGACCTTTGGCTTCCCTTCTCTCCCTCCTCCACTCATTTTCTTTTGTCTTTATGTCTGAGATTAAGACTTGCTAGTATTACTACAATTAGGTTTCTAAATTAGAAACACATGTAATACACATACCTCAGACTCCACCATGGCTGTTTTTAGCTAATATGTTTTTAGCTACTATGGAAAGTCTTTGAACCACTAAGTCAAACCTTCATGTTCATCAGAGAACATACATAGGACCATCAGGAATGTAGAAAGTCTTTCAACTGGAAGGCACAACTTCTTTTTCATTAGTGAACACATACAGGAGATAAACCTTATGAATGCCACAAATGTGGAAAATCCTTCAAGCAGAGGTCACAGTTTTGCAGCCATAATAGAATTCACACAGGTGATAAACCTTATGAATATAAAAAATGTTGAAAGTGCTTCTCCTGGAATTCAGATTGCAACACACATAAGAGAATTCACACTGGAGAGAAACCTTATGAATGTAACAAATGTGGAAGTCCAATCAGATTGTAATCACAGCTTACTTTGCATCAGAGAACACACACAGTAGAGAAACCTTATGAATATAAGAAATGGGTAAGTCCTTCACCTTGAATTCAAACCTCCACTCACATGTGAGGATTCACACACCTGAGAAACCTTAGGAATGTAATAAATGTGGGAAGTCTCACCTGGAAGATAACTCATTTTGCATCAGAGAAACCAAACAGGATACAACAAGTCTTACAGCTTGAACTCAGAGAATAGGCACTTTACGTTTTTTAATTGGACTTGGGTCTTGAACTGTGGGCCTGTACACTGTCCATGAGCTCTTCAGCTCAACGCTAGTGCTCTACTACTTGAGCCACCTCACCACTTCTGGTTTTCTGAGTTGTTTATTGGAGATAAGAGTATCCCAAACTTTTCTTGCCCAGTCTGGCTTTAAACCATGATCCTCAGTTCTCAATGTGCAGAGAAGGTAGGATTAGAGGCCTGAGACACCAGAGCCCAGCAACACTTTCCTAAATCATTTCTTCTCAAGGCTCCACCACTTGAGCCATAGCTGCACTTCCAATTTCTTTGGTGATAAAGACAAGAGTCATAAGCATTTGGTTTTGAATTAGTAACCTAAAGGATTTCAGTGCTTACTTTATATTTAATTAATCACTAGTGATGAGTGACTTGTGATTGATTCACCCTTAGCCCATTGTTTTATTCTGCTGAGTGAGTTATAATGAAACACCAGTGTCCCTGATGTGTTTTGTTACTTTCCTAGAGGGTAAAAGTGAGTTCTCAGGAGGATGAACACCTCCCTTCCACCACTACTATTCCTTTCTCCAGCTCCCTTTTGATAATTGTACCAAAACACAATTAAGACATGGTAGCAGCATAAACATGTAATGTAAAATATTGGAAATATGTTAAAAATAAAGTGCACAAGCTAGCTAGAAGATGGCTACAGGAATCCATAAATTGAGAGACACAAACATATAGAAGTAGGATTGTTCTTAGATATTCGATAGGTAAAATACAGGTAAAAAGTGATCCTCATCATTTTATATTCCATAGATAGGTAAATACAGTATTTTGAAGTACAACCGGATGCTGATGCATCATGCCTGCAGTCCTAGATACTCTTGAGGCTGAGCTCTGAGGATCACAGTTCAAAGCCAGCCTGGGCAGGGAAGTCTGTGAGACTCCTATCTCAATTAACTACCAGACAAACAGAAGTGGTGCTATGGATCAAGTGGTAGAGTGCCCACCTTGAACTGAAGAGCTCTGGGACCGATTAGGACCTTTAGTTCAAGCTCAGGACCAGCACAAAAACAAACAAAATATTCACTACTAAATACCACAAATAACACAGTGCATGTAATAATATTTAAAGGTGCTGGATACAAGTGTCTCATGGTGGTAAACCTGAGATCTGAGGATTGAGCTTTCATTAAGCCCTTTCAGGAAAGTCAATGAAACTCTTATCTGCAATTAATCACCTAAAAATACAGAAGTAGAAAGAGTGAAAGAGCCTTAGGATAAAATGGTCAGAGATAGCACCCAGACAATGAGATCAATACCTAGTATTGGTACATTTTAATATTGGTACATTTTTAAGACTGAAAAAACAACAGAAACATAGAATAAGTTCTCTTGTGGATGTAGGTAGCAGTTGGAGCAGGGAGGGTGAGCAGACAGGGTAAACGAGGTGAATAAGGTTTTTAAAAAGTGTGTTTGTGAGTGTGTGTATATGTGTGTGTGTTGTGTGTGTGTGTGTGTGTGTGTGTGTGTGGTGTTTATCAATGAAACTTGCTGCCATTGGGTTTTTGTTTTTATTTACTAATTTGTTGTTGTTGATATTGTTTGACATTCCTGGGGCCTAAACTCAGGGCTTAAGAACTGGTCCTGAATTTTATTATGCTGAAGACCTCCACTCTCCCACTTGACCAACTCTAGGGTTGTTTGGTGATTGTTGTTGTTTATTAGGTACTGAGAAATTAAACCCAGTGCTCCATGCATGCTTGGCAAACACTTTATCACTAAGCCACATTGCCAGCTCCAAACACAGTTTTAAGAAAGGGGTCAGGGCTGGGAGCATGGCTCAGTGGTACAGTGCTTGCCTTGCATACATAAGGCACTGGGTTTCATTCCTCAGCAGCACATCAGCTGAAAATTCTTTGTGACATATCACCAATTAATTGACAGAAAACTAGAAGTGACATTCTGCTGGAAGTGGTAGCATGCTAGCCTTTAGTGAAAAGCTTAGGGAATATGTCAGACCCTCCCTGAGTCTAAAGCCCTCACCCAACAATAGAATGAAAAAAACAAATGGTCCCAAACAAACAAAAACTTCATTACTTGCTCATTGCCTTTGTTCTTCTATGTAGTTGTAACTGAATACTTCATATCATTCCATTTTCTACTTTCTTCCTTTCACTTTGGGGGATTGAACCTTGGGACTTGCACATGGAAGGTGGATACTACATACCAACATATTCTTTCTCTTTTAACACAAAAAGTCAGCTTATAGGACAGGGAAGGTGGCTAAGTGGTACAGTGTTTGCATCGCATGAATGAGGAGCTGGGTTCTAGTCTTCAGGTCCATATACCCAGAAAAACCAAGAAGTGGTGCTGTGGCTCAAGTGGTAGAGTGCTACCCTTGAGCATAAACAGCTCAGGGACATCACCAGGGCCCTGAGATCAAGCCAGAGGACAAGCAAAACAAAAAGTCTGCTCATTGAAATTAGTCAATGCTTCGCCTGCAATTTAAAAGATAAACTTATAAGTGGCTCTAGTTCACTTTCAATAGTACTGTCCTTTCAGTGATTGCAGGGGACACTCACAGAACAGACCTTATGCCTCTGCTGTCACTTATAAACTAGTTGTTGTACAATAGTAAGCAGCAACAGATACATTTCTGCACTTACTATTTTGAACACAATGGATTTGTAAAGGTAGGTAAAAATAAGTGAAGGAAACCCTTCCTTTTCACCTATTTGTTGTGATATTAATGGATCTATTTTGCTGTGCACTCAAGTCCCACACTCATCATTTAAGTTCTCTCTGAACTACTTTTCAATTTGTTTTCTTCTTAGGACACACACGAACACAAGTTCTGAAGAATTTATACCAGTACACCTAGCAATTGTTTTACTACCAATTTTTCTGTCCACAAGCAATTGTATCATCTACATAGGACAAGACAATTACATTAGGCCATTGACTAGTCTTACAGGTCTCTGTGTCAATAGTGAACCCTGCAAGAAACACATGCACACCGTGGCCCATGCTGCAGGTGCCATGCTGTGCTGGTGGTGGACTGATGTGTAGTACAGGCCCTGCTCTGGGCTTCTCATTCCTGTCCCAAGGCTTTGCCAGGCTTTCCTGTTGCATGAAGACTTTGGCACACCCCTCCTCTCCTCAGCTGGATTCTTACCAAACTTTTCTTTTCTGTACCTTCCATTTTGAGTTCCACCCTAGACCATGAGCCCAACCATCTTGCACCACACCAGATAAAGTCTCCACATCAAACTTTTTGTAAGAAATATTTAAGTTAGAATGCTTTGGCTGGGTTTTGCTCAGACTTCATATACAAGTGAGGCAAAGGATGGTTGGCTGTGGATTCTCCAGGTAGTCATCTACTCAAAGTACTGAGACTTCTATAAAAAGAACTTCATACTAGGTTGTAAGTGATCCAGAAAACTTAAAGAATAAAATGTAAAAGAACTTCAAAATTCATTGATGGAACAGAAAAAAATGTACACATAATTTTAAGCTAATTATGGGAGGAAAATGACCTAGAGTGGGACAAACATAAAGATATAAGTGCTCAAGGTAATGCAAGGGGGTCTTGGGTATTCCCTGAGGGTCTAGTGAAAATCCTATGATAGCCTTGTTCAGTACCCACTGTGCTCAGTATCCCAGCTTCTGTCCCTTCCAGTCACTCTGAGGTGCATCATTCCAGGCTAACCTGAGGAAGAAACAAGGGTTCACCTAACATCCAGCTCTCTCCTTGGGGTCTTGATTGCTTGGGAACTGGAGGTTCTTGGTTAAATAATTACATCTCTGGAGAGCAGACTCCTCAGGGTCATGACTTTGGGTCATATCAATTGCCCCTGATGATGAGATCAGAATGTTCTGTAATATAGATATGACTTTATTTGCATACTTTATCCAGTAACATTCAATGAATGGCTATTGAAAATAATCTAATTTAGAGCTGAAATCTTCATACAAAAAAAGAAATCTTCTAAGGCCTAACTTTGGACATTGCTACAGGATCAAACTTGTGGTAGGACCGTTGACATTTTGAAAAATTATATAACTTACCTAACTCTTAGTGATTGGGTCTAGGGTGAATATGTACCCAAGTTATGGTTCACCACTTCTCTTCTCAGGACATAGGAGCTTTTAGAATGAGCTGAACCTAAATATCCTGGCACTCACCCCTTGGAGTGGCCTTGAAATAAACTGCAATCAGAAAGGGAAAAACAACAAAAATGCTTAAATACATCTGAACACATCACACTGAAAAGAGTATTTCTCCTACATCTATGTGCACATAGCCCAAGACCGCAGTCTTCTTGTTCAAATATATTGGTATTCTGGGATCTTAAATCATCACTACTTGACTCCTTCTTTTCTTATGATACTGTTTCAAGTATACTGAAATATTTGGCCACATTTTATATGCTGAGATCTCTCTTGGAAGGTCTCATTCCACACTGTACAGACATGGACCACAATGGCCTACATAGTAACTTGAACCTCTGCAAGGACTTATGAACTAGTCAGAAACATAAAGGTAGATGCATGTCCATTCACATGATAAGAGATACCCAACTATTTGTGACAATCTATCATTACCCTGGCTTATAAGACATTTCAATATCAACTTCAATTGAGGGACAATGACTATACCCTATGGAGTACTTTAGGCTTATACAGGAATGATAACTTTTCTGCACAAGGGACAAAGAGCCAATTTTACAAAATATCTTCCCTGGCCTTGGCATTTTTCTACTCAGGCCTGGGTACTGTCCCTGAGCTTTTTAAATAAAGGAATAACAGTGATGACAGTCTATCAACTTGATTCACAGTGCTACTTGTGGGAAATTAGGTGATAATTGGCCATAACACCCTCACAGCTTTTCCTATCTAGTTGGCCATTCAATTGTTATCTTTAAAACTCATAACCTTGAACAACGAAGAATTCAGATGTGTAGCACCAGAGCCCTGTTAGATCGGTAGATCTGAACTACATGATTCAAGCATGACTCATGGTTTACACAGAATAGGATATAAAATGTATAACATCATATAGACATATGCAAAGGTCATTTGCAATCACTTCGTAAAGGACTGTTTACCTATCATTCTGTAAACCACATCCAAATAATTCCACTAAATATTTGGAAGAATGTATTGTTTGCACAGGTCATATTAGTGGTCCTCAGGTTGAATTCAGGGGGAAAATCTGTAAGTCTTCCTTTACCTTCCATGACAGATGCCCTTTTGTATCACTCAATTTTCACCTTATAGTCTTGCTTCTCTTCCTGGGCATTTCTAGACTAATTTTTATAATTACATGTCATGTCACAAGGAGCAAACAAGATAGGCACATATCACCAGATGCACCCTTTTATTGATTAAGATACTGTTTTCATGAAGGTTTTGCATAGGATGGCCTATGCAAATATTACTTTTCTAATTTCAGCTTCCTGAGTAGCTAAGATTCCACACATGAGGGAGTGTAATTAGCTCATTTTTAATTGTTGGTCTTACAGTAAGTGAGAAGTATGTTCCTTAAATTCTGAGTTCAAGCAAAAGTGTTGACCAAGTGATAGTAATAAAAATAATAAAAGCAATAATTAAATGTTATCATCAGACCTATGTTCAATGAATGAGGTATTTTGGTCCTGCCTTTTAATTTCAGCTATATGACAGGCCTAGGTAGAAGGACTCTACTCTGTGAACCATCCTTTCTCAGAAAGCATCCAGTGGGTAAACACGGGAGAATGAGGTATTTCCAAATGGCTGGCATATGCTTCTGTGTGTGTGTGTGTGTATGTGTGTGTGTGTGGTACAAGTAAGAAGGCCAAGGGCACAGGTGCCTCCCAATCCCTGTATTTTTTACTAGGCCTATATAGACAAGCAGAAGGGTGAACAGTGTGAGGGAAGGGGTTAAGCTAGCAACCTATCTATATGTGGCAATGGGAAGGCCACTGTCCTTATCTTGTAAATGGAATCATGGCCAGGATTTAAGACTTCTTTTTGAACAATTAAAACAAATACTGAAATTGTTGAAGGCATAGGAAGCCTGAGGTGAAGCACTGAATGAAACCTCTTCTTCCCAGAGAGAAAAGATTTCTTCAGAGCAGCCCACAGGGCTCATGCTTTGATTCCTAGCTTTTATGGAGGCCAAGATGAGAATCTCCTTTGAAGCCAGCTCTGGCTGAAAAGACAGTAAAAATATATCTCTAATTAACCACCAAAAATCATGAAGTAGAGATATGGCACAAGTGGTAGAGTGTTAGTGTTGGTTTCACAAATGATAAAATGTCAAGGATGTTATCTCTGTTCCTGAGTTGAAGACCTCATATCGGCACAAAATCATTTCTTCATAAAAGTGTGAAAGTAGAGCTCTTCATTGTCTAGAACATGGGCAGCAAAGATGGCGCTAAGAAGGGGTTGAGTGGGCAGAGCCCAATGGATCTTCTGATCAGTGCCTAACAAGCTGGTGAAAGCTCAGAGGCTCAGGTGCATGATAGGGTGTGACCTTGACAGTGATTGGTTCCTCTGCCTCCCTTGGCATGCCACCCACCCTTTTTGGCTTTGAAAAAGGCTGCTCTCTGTTAATAAATGAGTTTTCTACCTGCTGGATTTGGCTACCTGCTCTATCTGATTGTCTCCCGGGCTGAGGGAGGCTGGGGAAAGGGCGAGCGCCGCACTTACCTTTCCTCGGACCCCGTCTGTCTTTCGTGGGATGGACGAAGACCCAACATCTGGCGCCCAACGTGGGGCACAAAAGGAAAAGATACCTGCCAAGGCTAAACGGTCTCTCGGGGTAAGTGAAACCCTAAATATGGGTAATGCTATATCACAGAAGAAGGAGGAGGAGGCAACATTAGGCCTAGAAGGAGTACAGGAGGACTTAGGAAGTGAGAAGGAAAAGGAAAGGGTCAAATTCGATCAAGAACGCACTGAAACGTGCACAGTGGAAGTCAAAACGAGGGTGAAAGTTACCCCCTCTCACCCAGCTGATACTGACAGTCCTAGGCCCCCTCCCAATTCCCCCGATTGGAAGGGAGTTATGGTGCCCTCTGAGACCTGCGAGAGGGACTTGCAAGACCCAGACCCCTACCAACCTTACATGCAGGGGCTGAGGGCCAGGAAAGTAACCTACTCGGAGACCTACTCTGGAAAGGAAGGGCCACTCGAGAGCCCAGACTCTAGGCCACAGGATTCACTTCCCCAAGCATATCCAGTCAATCTGGCACCTGGAGCTAACAGGCCCTTGGAATGGTATCCATGGGAAGCTAAGGATCTTAAAGAGCTCTGCAAGGTGGTGGTGGAGGATGGCCCAAACTCTCCCTGGGCCCAGACCCTATTACAAGACATTGCCTATCACCCTTGTGTCCCTAAGGACTGGATGGATGTGGCCAAAGCCATTCTTATAGTTCTCAGTTTATTAAATGGTGTGCTTTCTTTAAGGAGGAATGCAGAGTACACGCAGAGAGTAACCGGCAGGCTCAACCCGCAATACCTATTACTTATGTCATGTTAGCAGGGATGGGGGAAGCCTACTCCACCGGCATCCAACAGGCTGCAATACCTGGCCTTTACCGTGACCAGGTGAGGCAGGTAGAACTTGCCGAGTGGTACAAACTAGATGATGGGCCTACTGAGTCCCCCATAGTAGGAGTGAGACAAAAACCGGGTGAGCCTCTACCTGATTTCACAGACCGAGTCCAACAGAGCGTTCACCGCAAGCTGCCAGCAGGGAACCTCCGAGATCAGTTTGTAAAGCTGCTGGTCTGGGAAGGGATGAATGCAGAGCACCGCATGGCCTGCACAGGATTGAAAGTTCCCTGGACAGATGGGTGATGGCCTCACAGGATGTGGGAACACAACAGCACCAGTCCCAATCACTAGCTTTAGCTTTACAGGCTCACACATCTGCAATGACTGAGGCTATTACTCAGGCACTGGCAGCCCAGGGCCAAGGAACACCGAGACCATTGGGGAGAGGGACTTGTTTTAAATGTGGGCAGGAGGGGCACTTTAAGAGGGATTGTTTACAACAATCCCCTGCCACCTGGCCCGTGGGCAAACCACCCCCTACACCCTGCCCCAGGGGCATGGAGGGATACAAGTTTGATTTAGATGGGAAGTCTTTAAACTTGGGGAGGGGCATCCTCTAGCCCCATTAATTCAAGGAGGAACCCCCCCTGCTGTGAGGCCCAGGCAGCCTCGTGGCAGGGCAGCCCAGGTCCATTGGACCACCCACCTGGTGGATGGACTCCACCCTAAAATGAGTATTCTTAAAGGCGGAAAGAGGTTTAACTGCTTAATTGACACTGGGGCAGACTGAACCATACTCAGGGAGGAGGAAGTGCCCTTGGACTGGAAGCTTGCACCTGGGCTCCCAATATTGGGGGTAGGGGGTAACTCCCAGTCCAAAGAGACTGCCCTTATGACATGGACTAACCCAGATGGAGAACAGGGAAAGATATGCCCTTTAGTGGCAAAGAACCTCACTGCCAATTTACTAGGGCAAGACATGCTAAGACAAATGGATGCTGTGGTCACTACAGACCATCGAGCATCCTATGATGATAGCCTGGATGGGGAAGAAGCACAAAGGCTTAAACAGGATCTAGAGGGAGTTAAGGAAAGGGATATTTTTAACTTTCATAATTACAGAGAAGAACATAAGGGACCCGCTTAAGTACACCACCAATCCTAAAGGCCACTGCCCCCTGAGTACTTCCCATTAGGTGGAAGCCGGGAAGCCCAATCTGGGTGGAGCAGTGGCCACTGACCAAATCTAAACTTGAAGCCCTCCACCTTCTGGTGGAGGAACAGATAAACCTCGGGCATATTCGCCCTTCCATAAGTCTTTGGAACACACCCGTATTTGTTATTCAAAAAGCCTCTCGGGCTTAGCATATGCTCCAAGACCTACTTAAGGTAAATGAAAGGATGGAGCTAGTAGGAACGCCTCTAAGAGGCATGCCCTGGACTCCTGCTATACCTTCAGAATATACCTTGGTTGTGATTAATATTAAAGATTGTTTTTTTTTCTATCCCTCTGTATCCAGATGACTGGGAGAAGTTTGCTTTCTCTATACCTTCTCTTAATTTTTCCAAGCCTGAATGGACGGTGCTGCCACAGGGTATGGCCTATAGCCTGGCTTTCTGCCAACAATACTTGGCCACACTTTTAGGGCCTGTGCTGGGTTCAGATACCTCCCTTGCCTATGCCTACATGGATGATATAATTCTGGGGCACCAAGACCCAAGCCGCCTGGAGGGCCTTCTGGTCCAGGTTCTCACCATATTAAAAAAGGGGGTTTTACCATAGCCCTTAATAAAATTCAAAAGGTAGCTCCTTTTAAGGTGCTTGGGACCCACCTTTCCCTGACTCAGGACAGCCCCCTTAAGCCTTTGCTGGATATTCCAGCCTCTCTAACCTTAACCCAATTTCAGAGTCTTTTAAGGGAAATCAATTGGCTATTGCCATGGGTTTCTGTCCCTAAAGATAGTCTTGTGCCCTTATTTGCCCTGCTAAAAACAGGATGCCACAAGAAGTTATTACAATTATGGACAGCCATAGGGCTATATTTTTGCAGTTCCCAAAAGCCCTGGATGAAGTTTCTCTAAAGAGGTATTCTATTAGTGAGCCCATTTCCCTTTTGTTGTTTGCAGGGGTCACATTAATATCTGCAGTTTTAACTCAAAGTGGGGAGCCATTAGAGTGGGTTCACACTCCCCTGGGGGGCACACCTTGGGTGTACTCTCAAGCAGACCAACTTGCAGATGCTATTGTCAAGGGAAGGATGCAAGCCCAAAGGCATTATGGCCTCGACCCTCACTCCATTGTTTTTCCTTTTTGGACGGCAGACATTGAGTGGCTCACTCAAGCCAATGCTCGTCTTGCTCTCTACTTGGAGGGGTTTCTAGGACAAATTGACTGCCATTATGGGCCATCCAAATGGACTGTCATGTTATGGCGACTTCCCCTCAAAATGCCATCTCTATTTTCTCCTACGCCTATTCCTGGCACCCTCCATGTTTTTACTGATGGAGGAAAGGCAGGCTCTGTTGTATGCAGCCTTTGAGGAGCAACAAAAGACCCCGAGCCAACAAAGATTTCAACCTTGTCAAGGGTCAGCACAATATAAAGAAATGCTGGCCATAATTATGGCCCTTCAGGACATTCAAAAACCCTTTAATTTGTATTCTGATAGCCTATATATGATTAACTTGCTCCCTCATATTCCCCAGGCACATCTTAAGCTGGATGAAAACCCTATTTCCCCTCTTATGGTTACCCTTAAGGGCCTATTAGAAGGGCGGGGAGACCCTATTTATATTCAACATTTGGGAGGGCATTCAAATCTTCCTGTTTTTTTTTCCCTAGGCAATAAGTGGGTGGACCAGTTAGCTACTGGCCCACAAGCATTAACATTACAAGAGGCTACCTGTTTGCATGATTTAATCCACACTAATTGGAGAGGTCTTCAGCATAGATTTCCTCAGATTCCTGTAAAGGACTTCAAAAGGATAGTACATACCTGTAAAACATGCCAGCCCTTCTTAAAAGTACCCCCGTTACAACCACCAGGGGTAAATCCCAGAGGCCTTAAACCTAACATCCTCTGGCAAACGGATGTTACTCATTTCCTAGCCTTTGGTAAGTTTAAATATATCTTTGTCTCTATAGATACCTACTTAGGAGCATGCTGGGCCACAGCACATACAGGAGAAAGAACTAAACATTCACAAGCACATTTTCTTCAATGCTTTGTCACCTTGGGTCTACCAGCACAAGTTCAAACCGATAATGGACCCTGTTTTGTTAGTAAAGCAATGTCAGAGTTTTTTGACAAATGGCATATTAATCATACTACAGGAATTCCCTATAATCCCCAAGGCTAAACAATTATAGAAAGAAATCATCAATGTCTTAAAGAGCAATTATTAAACAAAAAATGGGAGTTAGCCCCCATATACAGTTACAGAGAGCTTTGTTTACCATTAACATTTTAAATTTTTCAAAAGGGGCAACTGAATCCAGATTTCAGAAGCTCTGGGGACAACTAAACCCTAAACCCCAAGTGAAAGTCAGGTGGAAGGTCCCCCTGACACAACAATGGAGAGGACCTGACCCCCTAGTTACTATGGGCAGGGGATTTGGATCCTTTTTCCCCATAGGGGAGCCTGCTTCCATTTGGATCCCTGCCAGGAACCTTAAGTTTTTAGCCATTTCCAAGAATAAGCTAACCAACTAGGAAAGAAAAACGGCCATGGCCGAGGCTTGTGTTTAAAGACAAAAGCCAGAAAGACAATTACTAACCATCCCCAAGGGCAACCAGCCCTTGAGAAGCTCTTGTGTTCTCTAACAATTGCAGATGGTGATACTCCAGCTGTTGGCTGTCCTGACTCTCCTAATCCTGTGAATGGCCCTATGGAATCTGCATCAACATCAACAGGTGACCTGGGCAGTGATCAACGCTGGCAATGCAGAAATCGTC